GGCTAATTGTTGTCAGCTCCTGGAAGAGATTGTACACATTTGGGGATTGTATTCTCTGAACTGGAAACCGAAGGGGGTAATAGTTCCTTCACAGAGGTGCCTACTCCACACTGTCCCAGGCCTGGATTCTGGGTGGGCTCAGTTTGCTCCTGAGTATCCAGGGGTCTGTTCAGGTCTTAGGGTTGGGCTGACATTTTCCCAGCAAGATAACAGGAATAAAACATAGGAGAGGTATCACTCCCACCGTTACAGTGACTGAGGGTTTGGTGGGGAAGGCCCTTGATGGTGATAGAAAATTCTCTATTGCTTTAACACTAGGGAGACAGCCCATAAGGGCTGGAATGACTGTTTGTCCTGCCCCTTGTACGGGTCCTCCTCTCATCCAGCGCTTCCCTCTTCCTTTCTTGCTTCCGTTGACTCGTAGAGTGCTCATCTTGTCGGGTTGCATGTAGAAAACCTGGCATAATGCCTGAACCACGGTGGCTTGTCTTAGCTTCCTGCCCTTACGCCTCTTTTTAAATCACTTCTGATTGCCTTAACCGCTTGTTACTTAACCCCTCTTAGACCAAAACAGATAATGGGTGGACATCACTTAATTCAGTACCCTTTCACACTAAATGCTTGGTAAGTCGTAGTTCCTATGTTTGTATTCGTGGATGTTGAAGGGGAGGCTACAGGAGAGGAGCGTCAGGGATGTTACTACTGTTGTTAACACCCTGGACCTCAAGCGGCCCTCTTCTTACGCCTCTGCAGATCGAGAGAGAGAAGCTGCATGGCTGCATTGATGTTGGGCTCTCGGTGATGTCCGTAAAGAAGTCATCAAAATGCATAGATCTGGATACCGAGGAGCACATCTACCATCTGAAGGTGAGGCTGCTTCCCGGGCGCCATCTCCTGTCGCACGGTTTCTTTAGGTTGCAAAGGGATTGGTGATGCCCTTTGATTATCTCAAAAGATCCAACCAATGTGTAGAAGATCTTCCTTATGAAAGTATTTCTAACAGATGCTATTGATATTTGGATGGACCATCTCACACACTGCTAAAGGTTTAGCATCCTTGTCGCCCACCCCCTAAGGACCACCCCTCCCACAGACCGTGATTGTGACAACAGTCAATGGTAAAAAAAACTTCATGTTTCCAAATAACCCCTCCTTCCCCTAGACTGTGCCACCTTTAGTGAAGAACCATTTACCATAGGTTAAAATAGGTTCCCTGAAATACAATATTTAATATTTAGTCTTACCCTTTTAGCTAATTTTATAGGGATTCCATTAAAATTCTCATACTACAGTGAATGTCAAGAACTTTTCTCCTAAAATATGGGCCTCCAAATCTACCCCTGAAAGCGGCTTACTCCTCCTTTCTGCCCTCTCCCCTGCAGATGGTATAGATGGTTAAAAGCATGATATAGGAGCTTCAGAGGTCCAGATCTGGTTCAAATCTTGACCTGGCTACTTACTAGCTACTGGCCTTTGGCAAAATTTTTTTTTTTTTAAGTTTTATTTATTTATTTGACAGAGAGAGACAGCGGGAGAGGGAACACAAACGGGGAGTGGGAGAGGGAGAAGCAGGCTTCCCGCCGAGCAGGGAGCCCAACGCGGGGCTCGATCCGAGGACCCCGGGATCATGACCTGAGCCGAAGGCAGACGCTTAATGACTGAGCCACCCAGATGCCCCTTTTGGCAAATTTTTTAATCCCTGAAAGTCTCTGTTTTCTCACCACCCTTCCCCAGAATAGGAATTATTAGAGTGCCCATGTGGTACCGCTGCATGGAAGACACTTGGCATGATGCCCAGACTGCTGTCAGCTCAATAAGTTTAGTTTTTGTGTATAATTATTAGGTGGTACCCAAATGTGAGGAATTAATTGAGAGGATGTTAAGACTCTTTTCTTACTTAGGCAAATTACTTGGAATATTGAGAATGGGGGCTGGGAGTTGGGAAAATGGGAGCATGAGATGATGAGCTCCGTGTCTTAAGATGCCCCATGCTCTCCTCATAGCATCTGTGCGGTGCTTGCACAAATCTATGCATAACACATACGTGTGCTTGACTGACTGCACAAGATGGTCAAATCCATACTGTCTCCTAGCCTAAGCCCCAAGCAAAGCAGGGTTTCTCATCCTCAACACTATTGACATAGTGAACTGGAAAATTCTTTGATGTGGGGTCCGTCCTGTACATTATAGGATGTTGAAGGGCATCCCTGGCCTCTGCCCACTAGATATCGGTAACAAACTCCCTTCACTTATAACAGCCAAAAAATGTCTCCCATTGCCACATGTTCCTTGGTTGATAATAACAACAACAACAAAAAAAATTAGGAAAGAATAGCCCAACCCCGTTTCAAAGGTCAGTCTCCTCTAGAATAGTTTCAGTCGTGTCTCCATGTACTTCCAATGACTCTTACTTAGTTCTGTTTTTTTTTTAATTAAGATTTTATTTATTTATTTGACAGAGAGAGAGAGTACAAGCAGGGGAAGTGGCAGGCACAGGGAGAGGGAGAAGCAGGTTCCCCGCCAACAGGGAGCCTGATGTGGGGCTTGATCCCAGGGTCCTGGGATCATGACGTGAGCCGAAGACCAATGCTTAACCGACTGAGCCACCCAGGTGCCCCACTTAACCTAGTTCTGTTTTGACATGGTCAGGAAATAATAGTTTCTTGTTCATCTGCTATTCTAGTTAATAGAATAAAAGTAATTATTAATTCCTAATTTTTGAGGAACCATAGTGCCTTAAAATAACACTATGTACTAATATCATGATAAACAACAGTTTAATATTTCCCTGTGTTGATCTACTTTAAGTTCTGTTCATCTTTCCTGTTCATTCATTTGAACGTCAGCTGTGAGTAGTACTGTAGGTATGGGGTCCTCGTTAATAGCCTCAGAGTCAGGCAGTTTTTAAATGGCAGTCATCCAGTCCCATTGTCTTATTTTATAGATGAGGAATCTGGGCAGCCAAGGGGTTAAGTGGCTGTCCACCCATGGTCCTATATCAACTTGTGGGGTTGGAACAGAATGCTGGACAGTTATTTAATAAAGTGCTTTTATTCTTCTACCTCATTTAACCAACAAAAAAATGAGTCAAGAGGAATGTTTTGGGCGCCAATTTTTAAGGGCCTGTGAGAGCAGATCAGTGCAAAGGGTGATGTAAGATTCCTGTGAAGTTCCCGCCATAAGCGCATCTGGGAAGTGAAATACCTTTCGAGGACATAATTTAGGGGGAGATAAGTAGATATAAGTCAGTTTGTATTGCTTTTTCCTGTAAATGATGTATTCAGTAGCACCTGGAGGGGTCTTAAGTCCTGAATGTACTTCTAATCAACACAACAGACCTAAGAGCCGACCTAGTGTTTCCTAAATGAGTGATGGCTATAGACATCCTTGCTTTCAGCAGTGGTGGTAGTAAAGATTTTAACAGATTGACCTGGAGTTTTCTTCTCGGAAGGTAACCTACCATGCATCCTGTTGGGTGATTTTAAGCTGCTACTTCATGAGTCTCTGTTCTAATATATAGGTATCTATTGTTTTTCACTTTGAAAGTATTAATACAGCCTCGTACATACAAAACCTGGACTGTGAAGAAAGATCTAGTGCATAGGTGCTTGTTATATTCTTTTTAGTACTTTTGTGAACATTTGAAATACTTTATAATAAAAGTTGCTAGTTATAAACATTATTCTTCATGGAAAGTAGACACTGATAGATACTCATTTATGGTGGTGTAGGTGTGTTTGAAAAATCTTGGAAATCTCCAATAATAGTTTTTCACATTTTTTTTTCTATTTCCAAGTGCAGGAGAAAAGTTTTTTAAAATAACCTTCACATTCCTCAGCAATGTGTTCTTTGTCAGAGAAGATTAAGAAGGTTAAATATTTTGGGAAGAATTTACAAATTTGTTCCAGTTCAGAGAAGATTGATCTGAAAAGTCTGAATTATAAAAGAGTTTAAAAAGAAACATGGTGCTAATATTTTCAGTAAGAATAGGAAAAGTGGGGACAAGTGAATTTGGGAATGTTTTGAGGCAGGTAAATATGAATTCTAGTTTATTTGTTGTTCAATATGAGTGGTAATGTTTTGCTTTCTTAATAATAACATGACAATTGGACCCTTTCATTGAGAGCCTAAATGAAGTTTATGAAGACCATTTTTATTCTCCATTTCCTCCTCAAACTTGTTCCTGTAGATCGCAAATGTAAACTAAGTCAATAAACTTGTATTTCTACATTTCTCCATGTGCCAACATGTAAAGAGGGCGTGTCTCAATTGAATGAAGAAATTGCTCCTTTCAGTGAGGGATGCTCTTGTTTCCCTCTTTTTAATATAATTTAGGTCAAGTCAGAAGAAGTCTTTGATGAGTGGGTATCCAAACTCCGCCACCACAGAATGTATCGTCAGAATGAAATCGCCATGTTTCCACACGAGGTTAACCACTATTTCCCAGGATCCACTGTCACAGACTCCACATCTGGGGTCTTGGACTCCCTTTCAAGTAGGAAGGTAAGAGCTTGCCAATTATGAGTCTAAAAGAAGGGGGTGGCTTTGTGCGGGGGTGTCCCAACCCGGGGGCTCCATGTGAAGGAAGAAGAGCTCGTGCGAGGAATCTCTTTGTGCAGTTGGTCAGAACCAGGACCAGAGGAACATCTGCTGTCCCTGGGACAGTAACTGATGAATGGCTCATACAGGGGAATTTAATGGCCCTGAATGCTGCAGCCTCCCTTGACTATTTTGACTTTGGTTTTCTTTTCTGGTTGTAAATGCAGTATGCATGTTTATAGCCATAGAGGATTGCGAAATTTCCCAACATTTCTATCATGATTTTGGTATGATTATCATTTGACCGAAGAAGAAATTCAGGACAGCAGCCCCAGGCATGAGAGCATGGTATGGCCAGGCTGAGGTGACAGCCAGAGCTTAGGGTCTCAAGTGGAGTGCTTTGTAGAAGCTTCTTCCCCATTACAGGCAGACAGCTTCCATTAGCGACTGGCTCACTTTGTTGTCCTTTACCCTAACGTGTTCCCACTGGGCTCTGTTTTCATTTATAATGTGCTTTTTGTCATCTGTGGAACAGCGTAGCAGTATATCAAAGCAGAGCTCGATTCAAACTGGAAGCAATTTATCATTTTCTTGTGCTGGTGAGACACGAGTTCCATTATGGTTACAATCTTCAGAGGACATGGAGAAATGCTCGAAAGGTAAAATGACTTGAAACCTCTGCTTCTTTCTGTCATGGCTCTTAGATGGCACTCGTTGAGTATTTACACCTCAGGTGAATTTCCCCGTCACTGTTCCACATTTCCACTCAGAGTTTGCTTACTGAGTTTGCAGTGGTGATGAACAAAATACGCTCTCCCTGCAGAGCTTCACGTCTTCACCTGGGTGTGCATGCAGACGGGTTTCCTTTCATATTCTTTAAGTACCCAGGTCTGAATTCCATGAGGACCTCCTAAATTGCAGTCTCCATGGGTGGGCTCTACACAGCTCTCTAGTTTTTTTTTTAAGTGCTAAAACTGACTCCGGTGTACATCCAAGATTGGGAGTCATTGCTCACGGTGAGTGGGTGAACCAAATGGAGCTCCCCACGAAATAGGAGTTCTCTACCCTATCTGCACACTAGAATCACTAGAAGAGCATTTAAAAGGCAAGAATACCCACTCTCCACAAGAATTTCTTTAAATTGGTCTGCACTTGGGCCCTGGCATCACTGATTTTCTACAGTTTCCCAAATGACTCTGATAAGGAGTCAGGATTGAGAACTCTTCCATAAAGAAGCTCAGTTTTCTCAACTCTAATTAGCTAAGAACCACCCAGGGAACTAAAAAACGAAACAAGTCACCAGTGGGATTGGGGATGTTCTGATTTAATTATCTCAAGATGGGACTTGGACATATGGAATTTAAAGAATTTCCCTAGTTGATTTTAAAGCAGAGCCATGATTGAGAACCACGATGAGAGAAAGATGCCAGAAAGATGCCAGGTCTTGAAAAGCACATTTTCTCCTGTTGAATGCAAATACTATCACACTTGGGGCCATATAGGATTTGCCCTCCCAGTAAATGTCATGAGGGAGCTTCACTGAGCTCACACAGCTTTGGCACAGCTAGTCCTCGAAGTGCCATCTCTGGGCCAGCAGCATTGGCCTGGCCTGCAAACTTATTTGAAATGCAAATTCTCAGATAGACCAAATCAGAAACTGTGGGTGGATCTCAGTGATCTGTGGTTTAACAAGTTCTCCAGTTGATTCTGATGATGTCAAAGTTTGAGAGCCATTTGGGTCTTGCTTTCTTAGTGGAAACAGCCACCATCATCCAGTGAACAACAAATTAAGGACTATCTTCTGAGTTAGCGACCAAGGAACTGGTATGAGAACTCTTAGGTCCTCTTGGGTCAATGTGCAGATGATCATCACGATCTCCTGTGGGTCCCTGATCGACAGGTATCCTTAGAGACCAATGCAACCTTCAGCTTTGTTTCATTCATTTACTTGTCTGGAGTCCTTGTAAGCAGAGAATGACACCCTGTTATTACAGTATTAGAAATAATGATGATAATGATGATAGCTGATTTACTTACTGCTGACAGAGTACCAGCACTCTAAAAGCATGCTGCCTCTGTCAACTCACAACTGTCCTATGAAGGCAGGTGTATGATTCTCTCCCTTTCCCAGATGAGAAAACTAAGGCACAGAGAAGTGATATAATTTGCCCAAGATTCAGAGTTCAGGAAGGGTTCAAACAGAGGCAGTCTTATTCTCCAAATCCATGCCCTTCACCGTGACAATGTACTGCCTCTTCTGTAAAAAAGAAAGTAAAATTTCGTCTCCGTACAGATGTAAATCAAGTAGTATAGATAAATTTACAAAGTAGCTGGCACTTGCGTAGGGCAAGCTGGGTGCCAAGATGAGGGCTTATGAATCTTCCTTTTGCTTTTCTCCCACAGACCTGGCACACTGTCATGCCTACCTGGTGGAAATGAGCCATCTCCTCCAAAGTATGGATGTCCTGCATCGGACATATTCAGCGCCTGCAATCAACGCCATCCAGGTCAGCCAGATCCCTCTGCTGTTTGCACTCTGGTGTTTTTCTGCTTCCTTCTCTCCTCCCCAGCCTCGCACTAACAGTGGGACATTGTCCGGTCTTGATTGCCTCAGCCACATTCGAGGGGATGGAGGTGGTCACTTTGCTGTGCAGTTTTCTCCAATTGGTCTGGTAGGCCTTACTTTCTGTGCTCTCTTTCCTGTTTTGAAACAAAGGGTGGAGCTTTTGAAAGTCCCAAAAAGGAAAAAAGATCACACAGGAGGTGGCGGTCCAGAGCTATTGGCAAAGATGCTAAAGGAACGCTGCAGGTAACCATTGCTTCCTCTGCTCTCTGTGCCACATGCTGGGGGCTGCTGGGACTCCCGATAGGATTTTCTACAGTCGTTCTCACAAATACCCTGTGCAGAGAGAAATTCAGTGACTTCGATTTTCTGGATACTACAGTAAGCATGTAATGGAATTGGGTAAGGGGAAAATGGCATGAGGATGGAGGGAGTGCAGCCGTTTCTCGGACTTCGGTGTCCCCTTCTTTAATGCTGAGTCCGCCTGCCCTCTTCCTTGCTTGTGTGTGTGCTCTGACCCACCTCTTCTGCTGCCAGTCAGTGGATTCATCATCCCTCTGAGCCCACTGGAGTCTCTGGAAACGGGACATTGTGCAGACTCTCTTTTGCCTCTTGTGTCCAACCTCCCAAACCCCCATCAGAGTTTCACTGAGCTACATTAGCCACTGACTTCCCCGGTGCACAGCTAAGCCAGAGGCTAAGATTTGCAGCTCGGCCATTGCATATTAAATTAGGACACTGTTAGGGTCAAATAAATCAGAGACTTAATGGGTAAGTCATCTGCTATACCCTTGCATACTCTGGTTCAAAGCACTTTATGGGTTGAATGGAAGTACTTTCCAAGTAAAGAGTGATTTGTGTACAAACATGTGAGAAGTTAGCTTTGTAGAAGCACCAGAGGCAAATTAAGGAAACGTTTTAAAACCTATCCACTGTTGGGCGCCTGGGTGGCTTAGTTGGTTAAGTGACTGCCTTCGGCTCAGGTCATGATCCTGGAGTCCCAGGATCGAGTCCCGCATCGGGCTCCCTGCTCAGCAGGGGGTCTGCTTCTCCCTCTGCCCTCTTCCCTCTCGTGCTCTCTGTCTCTCATTCTCTCTCTCTCAAATAAATAAATAAAATCTTTAAAAAATAAAATAAAATAAAAATAAAAAAATAAAACCTATCCACTGTTAACAACCTAGATGCTGGATGATTATTGCCAGGAGGAAGGAATTGAGTAGAAACGAGAAAGAGCCTGGCAGCTTTAGCTGTCATTTTCAACCTAGAGCTTTAATGCTTCTATCATTTGCAAAAGAATATGTGATTTCTCACCCATTTTTATTTCGCAAGAAGCCAGAGCAAGTTGCTGGAGAAAGTGCTTTCCTGGATTTTCATTTATTTTCTTTTAAGTCATCACTCAGTAGAAAGATTTACCTATAAAATGTTCTTCTACAACTTTCTAATCTTAGTAACAAGTAAATAGTCTAAGCAGGGCGCCTGGGTGGCTCAGTTGGTTGGGCGACTGCCTTCGGCTCAGGTCATGATCCCAGGGTCCT